TAAAAAAGGCCCATCGTAATAATCGCATAATAATAATAATAATAATAATAATAATGCGTGTGTATGCATGTATTTACTTATTTATATTTATATTGTATATATTTTGCAGGCCTGATCTTACATGGAGAGATATGCAATACCTAGTATTGAATAGTGCAATGACATTTAATTTAGAGGATCCTGATTGGCAACTAACCAAAGCAGGGCGACTTTACAATTATAAATTTGGATATGGAAAGTTGGATGCATATACTTTGATCCAGAATGCAAAAACATATAAACTATTGAATCCACAGGTTAACATTGAGATGCCAATAATTAACGTTACTAAACCTATACCAATGAATCAAGAAGGAATTATTAGTAAGGTGGTTGTGAAGAAATCAGATGTTGACAAAGCAAATATGAAAAGATTGGAACATAAGTTCTACCAATCCCTAGCATATTGAGATAAGTTTCTTGACAAAGAAGTGTATTGTGATCCCAGTGATAGAAAGTTCTTTTGTTAGATCTATTTTTCTTTTTAAGGCGTCTACTGGCACTTACTGTCCCACCATCCATTGCCTTAAGCTGGGCCATTAAAAATATGTCTTGTTCAGACTTGGAAAGAGCTTGAAAGGATTCTCTTAATTCTGCAAATTGTTCCTTGGGAATTCTTGAAGAACAACCACATTTACAACCTTTTTTAAAAAAATCAATTGCTTTTTGATATTCATTAGAACCATTATATTTATTATTACTTTTCATATATACACTTATCCCTATATATAATTTTATAATTTTTTATTCACTTTGTAGGTTTTTAAAATTAAATTTGGGTGAATCTGTAAATAAATATCAAGAATAATTTTAAATATACTAATTGATGGAAAATATGTTTGTTGAGTAACTTACAAAAGAATATTTCAAGAAATTTGGACAACTGGTTTATGCTCCAGATTTGGGTTAGCAATCAAAATAAGAAAAAACAAATTAGTTTAAAGACACTTGCCATAATTGGTTATTTACAGAAAATGTCTTTAAATTGGTAACTCCATTTTATTATATATATCATTATAGAGTATTTATTTGGAATTGATGTCTAATAGTTATTATTATAGATTAATTGAAAATAATAAAAACATAAAGATAAAAGACAATGGAAACAAAGTTATTAAAATAATGATAGTATTATTTAGTAATAATAATCAAAAAAAAAGTATAGTAAAAGGTAAATTTCTTTGAGCAAAACCAATACCAGTTTGTAAAAAAATAATTGCATGACAAAATGAATATACATAATGCATTAAAAAACTATCAAACTGCAAGAACCAAATGAACTTATATCATGAATATAGAAAGAAAATAAATTACAAATTTTCTATTTTACCATTTTTGTCAATTAATAATATTCACTTGAAGAAAAACAATTTCTTCTCTGTTAATAATGGTATTAAGCAAAATGAAAATTCACTAATTTATCAATATTATTATTAACTTCCATGATTTTTTGAATTCTTTCTTCCTATTAGTATTGGTATTAAGCAACATGAAAATCGATCAGTTTAAACAATATATTCAATTAATTTATTATTGCAAACTGGATAGAATTCATTATTTATTTTAATTATAGAAGTACATCAGGTATTTTTATAGTAACATTCACATTTTTATTAATATTAATATAAATTAAAGAATAATTACAGTATCCATTGGATAAAAGATGCATATTAAAAAAATGCTTAGAGGTTATTATTTTTAATTTTAATAATCGTGGATATCATAATTGTGTAATTTCCTGATATTAGATAGAATGTTCTCGTAAGAAAATTTGGTGGAAAAATACATAATAATGAAGTCATCTAATGATCTGCAACTAATAATAAATTGAGCCGTGATTTTTCATTGGTTGATTTCTTGCATTTTCGTGTCGCGACTGTTTACCCCAAGATAAAACAAATTCGTTGCTCTTTGCAAGATGTTTATTGCACAAAATTATTTTGACGAGAATACAGTGTGGAGTTTGTTTGGTTACTTAAAACATCGAGAACACAGTGAAGACTTCTCAGCAGATAAAGGAATTGAACATAGAAATTATCAAAAGGATCTTGAATATATCCTTTTGAATAAAAAGTCTGAAGATTATCGTGAACAAGCAGCAAAGTGCCTAAATATTTTTCAGGTAAATGTTATGTAATATAAATATTTGGAGATTCCATGTTGGCATTCACATAACTAAGCTGACTCCGTCTTGGCTTGGTGAGTGTGGACTCCGCCTTCCTGTGGATGTCAAGATTTATTCTGGTTTCATGGCGCAACTGGATAGCTCCGTCCTGTCTGGTTGTCAAAGCTCCGTCCTTAGCCATGCGATTACATGGAAACTCCTGGTTATGACATAGTTAAAAATCGTTTTATTATGCATTAATTTGTTTGCTATTGTCCAAAACTAATATTTTTTTACATTCATTCTATATTATGAGAATAAAAAACCTTCCGAAAGGGTAGATGCTTTCTGGGCAGAAATTAAACATAAAGAAAGAATGGTATGTAAAAAAGTTAGTGAATTTCCATGTAGTTATTTTATATTCAGACTATTAACAACATTTAATAGTCAAAATACTCTAGTTGTGTTTTGAATGTTGCGATTTCTGACAGAGAGCAAGGACAAGAAGTTATATCAACTGAATTTACTGAGATTATAAAGCGAAGATATGACAGTAAAGATAAAATTGGGAACAAAAAACGAAAGCCTGTAAGTTTCTCATTTTAAAATAACTGACCATTTTCTAAATGTGTTTAGTATAAATGTAATTAAGATTTAAGGAAATATGCTTCATTTTTTATTGCTATTTAGAATAATGATTTGATAAACTCTGTTGTAACTGATGTTGTACCAAATGATGAAAATGATGATATCACAATAAACAAGTAAGCCTTTATGCTTTATATTTAATAATACTGTTCATTCATTATTTATTGACTTCACATTGTTTGTTTAGCAATATTTCTGATGAAATAGTAGATTTAACAAAGATAATGGAAAATGATAATGTTTTCGAATTTGATTTAGGCGAATTTAATTCAATTTTTAATGTATGTACATAATATTTCTTGAAGTAGATATTAATTAATCATTTAAATACAATATTCTGAATATATAGCAATCAGATGTACAAAATGCTCGTAAAGAATGGTTTAGACTAATTCACAAAGTGGCTTTGATGTCTCCTGATGATAGTAATTACCAACGTTGGATATATGCTGCTAATGTTATTAACATTTAGTATGAACAATTTTTTTTTTATTATTATTATTTTCCAAGATAATTTCCTGATTTTTATAATTCTTTTGCTTTATATAGCTTAACAGAGTTTGAAACAGGATGTCAACGTATGCAAGATCATGGATTACCAGAATCTATGTACAATGGTACATTTATTGATCCGGTAATCGGAGGTGCAATTCAAAGAAACCATCTCTTAAATTACAAATGGTATATTTACATGTTCTATCTTCACATCTCCTTTTTTTGTAATTATTATTAATAATAATAAACCAATATACTAAAATTAGGGGTGAAATAGAAATTCGAAGTTCATCTGAACGAAAAAATGAAGGAAAGGATTTATTGACAACAGTTAAAGAGACTGGTCATAAAGCAGATGGTGTAGTATATACAAATAATAATGATTCTTATGAGATTGGAATTCTAGAAGTTTCTTATGCTCCTCTTAAGAAAGACCCAACAAAGGATGCTAGTGACTTTTTCAAATTAAAACGCATGTTAAAAGATTGTATTAACTTTATAATAAAGAATGAGGTATATTCAGGACGAGGAAACATTGAAAATAATCTAAAAATGATTGGTATGCAATCTAGTGGTAAGTGTTACTGTGTTATTTGAACTTTAAATAGATAATTCTTTTCTATTTGCTTACTATTATTATTTCTTTCAGGTTTTGTTGTAAAATCTTCACAATGGAGTTTTGCAAACAAACATATATTCTTAGACCATATGGCCAATTTGATATTCCAGCAAATTTTAATGATTTTTATTGTTTACAAAATGCAATGGCAGTGTGTTGGAATATGCAAGATGTGCTTATCAATAATGTGGAACTTCTTAAGAAAAATAAGCAGTCTCAGAAAGTTAACACAGAGCCAAAAAAATCAAGTTTAATTGATTCAATTACTCCAACAAGTAGATCTCCAACAAGAAAACCAAAGACAAGAAAAAGTAATCAACTTAAAACAGACTCAACAAAATCAAGGTTAGTTGACTCGGTGAGACAACCAAAGGCAAAACCCAAGACAAAGAAATCAACTTTATAATAATTGCTTACTATTTATATCAACCATTACTAGAATTGATAAATGAATTCTAATACTATTTTAAAATTATAACTATTTCATTCATTTTTAATTTTCATAATAAATTTCCATAACAGTAATAAAGTATTTAGAATGTTAGTGTTTAATCCCTGAATTTTTTCTGTGGTTTAATAGTTTAATACTAATACCAATGTTCACTTTGTCTGGTTTTGTTGCAGTATGCCCCATATATTCTTCTTTTGGCACCCATCACATAATATTTTATTTATTTCAACATCTAATTTATTTGATTCATCACTTAATTTATGGATTATTTCTGCTTCCCTATCTTCATTTTTTTCCTTGTCTAATTCTTTTGAAATCTTTTTTAATTTGTTTAATGATTCATAAAATGAACCAAAATAATTTTTTTGTATATTTACTTTACAATTGATACAACTTTCTATTATTTTTAATGTGTTGGGTAATTTGTTTGAATTAATAAGTTCATTTAATTCATTTAGCTTGGTGAGTAATTCATTCAATGAGTTGAAAATTTCACTCATTTTACAAATTAATAATCACAAAAATTACAGTGAACCAATTTTATTAAATAAGGGTAAAATAATGTTACGCATACAGTCACAGCAGATGAACGGGTTACATAATAATAATAAGTATTATAATTAGGTTTCAACAAATTTGGTCTAACGGGTTGGATTTACTGTTTCTTTGATTCAACAGGGTTTTTCGGACTAACAGGTTGACTATGTAGCTGTGCACTTTATTATTATTATGTTGATTCTAAAACAAAAAAATCAGTTTTACTGCTTTAGAAATAAACAATAATTATATCTAAAATTATTTATTTTATCATAGTTATGATACACGTACCACTTTAATTCTATCCAATTAAAACTTGAATATATTTATTTGTAAAACTAAAGCTAATATACATATATACGTATAAGAATGGTCGATGTTTTTTATGAAGATATTCCTTATTTGTATTTCTTTTGTCAAGATTGACAAGGTTTTTTATAACAAACTGAACATATATTTCCCATCCAAGCTTAACTTAACGCTAAAATTAGAGTAATGAGTTGTGAATCAAATCACCGCCACCAATCAATATCACTTACTTTTTGCAGCATCGCCAGCTTTTTTTTAATAATAATCTGCATACACAACTATTTATTATGCGATGGGTGTACAAACATATTTTTTTTGGAAAAACAATTTAATAGTCGAACGATTTGTCACATTAAAAATTCTATTAATAAAATTAGCCACAAACCTTAATTTAACCCTTTTTTGCTCACCAATCTCCACCAAATTTGAGACAGATTTTTCAAGACTTATTCCTTCTTTTATAAAAAATCTTGGTGCTAAAGTTTATCAACCAAATTACCGCATTTGGAAATTAATTATTGCTATCTATTTTTGGTTATGACTCTTGATAATCTCCTGCCCACAATTTTTTCCTTTTTGTGTATTGATAAATAAATTTTTGCCATTTTTCACTAAACTTTAATAAACAACAATCCACATAAAGCTATACCTAAATGAAAACCTACAATATTTTACATCTCTTCAACCACTCATCAAGTTTGTAAAGGTAATATTGGTAAAAAATCTTAGCTTTGAAGTAAAAAGTAATGCTGTTTTTGAATAAATATAGCTTGACATAGAGAGCCTCTATAAATATGGGAGAGGGCTCATTAGAAAGCTATAATGACATAGTTTTATCTTTGATTAATAATGATGTTCGAATTTGTTATAAAAATAATGAGATATTTTAAAAACTGATTTGTTACACGAGCCGGATTTTCTATTTTATAAATGTAATTACACATCCTGTGACATATCGTTTGACTGATAAGAAAAAAAATGTGAATGTTGTATGGTATGGCTTTCCTAAAGAAGACAAGGTGTTGTTATTTATTAATAACGAGAGATACACAATTTGTTATGTAACTTTTTGATTATTGGAAATTGACAGGCATCAAGTACACACGCACTTACAATCATTCTCACATGTTCCTTGTGTATACAAGACTAAACCGACCTACGACGCCAAGGATACAATGATGCAAATTAAATTTCCGGGGTGGTATGGTCCTGGAGTTTATTGAGAAGTTGCATCATTGTGGTATAGTTATGTACACTCTACCCTTAAGATAACAAACAAATGGGAGATCCCTGAAATTTGGTAATACCAATGTTGTGTTTGTTGCAAGAACAAATGGCCATTTGTACAATTGATTGTACAAAAATTGGGTTTAACCTATTACTATCTTACCTCGTGAATTCCACCAGAGTTTGTCTCACATTATCCTATTTCACCGCAGCCAGAGGAAGCTTCTACCACCAGAAAATGTCTGATTAGGTGCCAAGTACAGCATAATAATAACAATAAGGCGTAGATCAAGTGTCAGACGTAAACAAAAGAATTAATTTTAGAATTAAAACTAATGCAATTAACACTATGTATGGTTGGATAATAGATCCAATGTTAAGATCTGTCTGTTGATAATTTTGAAATGTCTTTTGTGGTACTTTTTCAAAATAAAACATAAAAAAAGGAAAAAAAAAAAATGGTATTTGTTTGTTTATTTAAATGAAAAAAAAAAATTTTTTTTAATAATAAAAATTAAAAATGAATGTTAAAAACGAGACTAACATGCAACAAAATATACAATTTCTTCCTGACATTATGTTATCACCATTATCATTATCCGAAGATTTATTTCCACCATTGGTCGCTCCAAAGCCTCAAAAAATTTCCCCAATAGTATCAAAAGACATTGCTGGTGTTCTAGAGGTAGAAGAAAGCTTTAACGAACCAGTCAACAATAATGGTAAAAATAAAAATAGTCGTGAAAATGACAATGAAACTACAAATCATCATTATATTTTAGAAAATCAAATTTATTCAAATTATAATTCAAATTACGATATCAATCAACAACATAACCTATTAATAAAAAACAATTTACTTCCTATCAATACTAGTTTTGGACAAAATCCCAATCACCAATCAAATCAATACCCTATTCAAGAAAACAATTATCTTCATCAACAACAAACTTATCAAAGTTTTTCTCCGTCAACAGCATCAACGTCAACGTCAACGTCTACGCCAACATCAATATCACCACAAAGTCTAAATCCCAATAATAACTTCTCACCAAAAGGTAATGCATCTCCTACATATGGAAATCATATAACTTCTCAAAATGCACAGCAGGCATTTTCACCTATTCATGATTATCCAATAAAATACAATCAGCAAAATCGCTATTTTTACGAAAACTATTCTAATAATAGTAGCCAAACTTCTTTAGGAACTCCTACACCAGGACAATATATCCATGGGCAACAATCTCCTGAGTTTATTATTGGATCAGACGGTAATCCAACACCACCATCCCTGTTGAAAACAGGGCACTTATATGGAAATCGTACTTCTACACCTGAACTTCGCCTTTCTATGAGTAGTACTGGTTCAAGATCACCTGTTATAAGGTTATTAATAGATGAAAAAAAAGAAAAACGTCGATCAATGACCTCATTAACATTAAAAAATGATGAAACTGCTCTTCAGAAATACGCCGAAGCTGCCAAAAAACTTAATGATCCCAACATACAAATAGATTATGCAAAATTTCTTATTAATATGGAGGAGAACCATACAAAGTCCAATGAAACTAATGGCTCAGAATCTGTTGAAGAAGACCCTACAACCAATAAATTTCGTGAAGAAATTAAATATTGGATTAATTTACTTGTTAAAAACAATCATCCCGAAGCTTTGTATATTAAAGGCACTTGGTACGAACATGGAAAGTATGGTAAGAAAGTTAAGCCAGATAAAGCCTACAAGTTATATTTATCATCAACAAAGTGTGATTTTTCAAAGGCAGCATACAAAGTTGCTCAACACTGTGAAAGAAATCGAGATGTCAAAAGAGCAATTCAATTTTACAAAAAAAGCGCAGCACAAGGAAATGTTCCATCATTATACGTAAGTCACGTAAAATTGTTCACTTTTTTATCTAATGAATTTTTAATTGATTTATTGTTCAATTAGCGACTTGCTCAAATTGATATGCTGGGTGATTTTAAACAAGAGAGTAATCATAAACAAGCCTTAATATATTTGAAACAAGCAGCGGCAAAAGCTGACGAAGAATGTCCAGAAGTAGCATATGTTTATGGAATGTTGTTAGCCAAACAGTATAGAAAGGCAAATATTCCGGATGATCTTGTTTCTCCAGATGATTATGCAGCCAAGGATTTCATAAAAAAAGCTGCAAACTTAGGTTACGGGCCAGCTTTATACAAAATGGGGCATTGTTACGAGTATAAGAAACTTACTTGTCCATTTGATCCCTTACTTTCTATTTCATATTATAAACGAGCTTCGGAAATGGGCGAAGAAAAGGCAGACTTGGCATTGAGTAGATGGTATCTTTGTGGAGCTAAAGGTTGTTTTGATCCAGATGAAGCTTTAGCTTATGAACACGCTGAAAAGGCTGCATCAAAAGGAATTGCAGAAGCTGAATTTATGATGGGATATTTTTATGATATGGGAATTCATGTGCCTGCGAATGCTCAAATAGCAAATGAATGGTTCACAAAGGTACTAAAAATAACATTCATAGTTTATTGATGAGGTTTTTGATATTTATTAATTATTAAAGTCAATATTTTAAATCATCCATATCTAGGCTGCAGAGAAAGGTAACGAAGATGCAAAAAAAAGGTTAGATAAGGGAATAACTGATAAGGACTTTGAAGAAATTATTGAACTAAAAAAACAATCTAAAGATTGTATTATACAATAATAAATCAAATTAATTTAATAACTTAATGTGTAGAAATATCATTCATTGTATATTGTTATTAATAAAAAAAATAGATTTTAATTATTTATATCGAGTTTGAAATTTTGCTGTCAGTCATTTTATAAATCTAGTTGATTGAAAAAATTGAAAAAAACATGTCTAAAGAAAATTAGATAAATAGTTACCAGTAACTGAGACATTGGCCAAGGTGTGTATATATACTATATATACAAGATTTGAATTAATATATTTCTGAAATAAATAAATAAATGTAGCAAGGGCTTCTTTCAGAAGCTTTAGAACAGTTAATGGGGCTTGAAAAGCAAACACGTCAGATATTTATTTTTCATTATTTTTGGAGTTATTAAAAATTAATTTTTTTGCAGCTGATTTGGCTTCTTCTACTTGCGTATTAGTTCATATTGTTAAATTACGTTATCAGGCATGAGACTTGAAATTATTAAATGAATATGTAATGTTGCTTTCAAAGAAACATGGACAATTGAAACAGGTGCAATTATTCTTTTAATTAAATTAGATGCATATCAACAAAAGAAATAAATAAATAAATAAATAAATAAATAACCAGAAGAGAATTCACTTCACTTCAATTCATTTGATTTATTTTAGGCAATCATAAAAATGGTTCAAGAAGTTATGTTAATCAATTTAAAGGTTAATAATAGTTAAGGCTTCATGCCGAGGGTCGGGCATCCCCTAACCTGCCTAATTAACATTTAATTTAAGTATTGTAATATCTTGATAATACACCAGATAAAACAACAAACTAGAGTTAATTGATACTTTACGCACAATTACTGAAGGAAAAGCATGTGGATATTAAATTGATGCATTTCATGCTATTTATATATATATATATATATTTATGTAGGAATTGAACGTGCAAGATTGACACGTTTATTATCCAAGAAAGAAGGCAAAATTAATGAGGCTGCTGATATTTTACAAGAATTACAGTTTTTTAATTATAAAATTTTTTGGAGTTTGATATATATGTATTGACACATATATAAGGTAGAGGCATTTGAATCAATAGAGAAAAAGAAAAAACAGATTTTATTTTAGAACAAATGCAACTAACTTTGGCAAAAAAAGACTATTTATATAAGAATGTAAATTATTAGTAAGAAAATCAACACAAAATTTTTTACAGATGTTAAACAAGTATGTATGTATATGTGTTTGTGCATATATATCGATTGTTTTTTGTTATTTTAGTATTTGAAGATTATATAATTAATATTAATAAATTAATATTTGAGTTAATGCATTGCATGAAGACCAACACTTGAATGTTTGTAAATATTATAGACATGTGTATGACACACCATCAACCAAGGAAGATGAATCTAAATGGAAAGGTGTGAGTTTATGAAGTTTCGTATAATAATATATATATTTATTTAGAGAGTTTTTTTTCAATAATAGGTTTTAGAAAACGTAATTTATTTATTATTCTTTCACCTTATGATAATGAACAAAACGATTTATTAAATCGTATATACAAAGATCCTAATCTTGTCAAAATGACTTTACATTAGTAATTTATTTATCAATAAAATTAATTTGTTCTTAATTATAATTTTTTTAATAAAAAAAAGTGAACTTACTAAACATTTTATAACACACGAATCGATTCCATGGTCTATGATTCAAGGAATATATGGTACAGAATTGAGACAAACATTAGTCTTTCCACAAAGTGATGAATATGGAGAAAACATTGGTAAGATTTGCATAAACAAGTGATTGAACATGTATTATTATTAAATCAATTCAATATTTTTTAATACTTTACATATATATATATATATATAGAATATACGTATTGTAGCAAAATATTATAGAAGAATCAGAACAAAGATATTATCCTCAATTATTGGATCTTAATGATTAGGTAAATAAACATATATTTAAATTTAAAAAAAAATATTTATAAATCATTGAATCAATTGACTGATTAAGTTGTTTGATTGATCGATAATAGAATACTGAAGACTTTTTATCAAAGCTTGTGGCTTCCAAATCTATTTATTCAAAGGTTAACCGACCAGTTTGAATTGTTTCTTTTGCACAGCCTAAAGATGCAAACCAAGTTTTAAATGATTGTTCTAATAATATTAAATCTTTATTGGATTTAATTGAAAAGACATGTCATCTAATTATAAAAGAAGAAATGTTACATAGTATAGATTAAATTAGAATAAATTAAATAAAAAACTTATTATTATTACTTTGAAATGAATGAATAAATATGTATATTTAAATTTTAAATTTTAAATTTAACGATATGATGATGTATATTCAGAAATTCTTGAAGCAAAATATGTAAGTTGTTCAGGTAAATAGTAAACGGTAGTGTAAGTGAATAGTGCCAGACCTACGAGAACAAGTGTGTCTATATATCAATAATAAAAATCATGTTAGTAAAATCATAATTATAACAATATATATAAATATTTGCTTATATTTATTTGATAATTCAACGCAACTAAATAATGCTTTTTCCCAAGGTTCGAGCATATATAATGCAGTTGTGACTTCATATTGATAATTTTTAAGTGCCAGATAGTCTCGAATAGTACGAAACATTATTTCTTAAAAAAAAATTTTTTATTATATATTTTTTTTCTCATATATATATATTAATATATCCCTCACGTGTTAATTATGGTAATTATGGAAGTATATATCACGTAAACTCGTTGACAAAAAAAATTTTATTTAGTAATTATACTATTATATCATAAATTAAAAATAATTTTTATTTTTTTTAATAAGAAGGTAAATACTAAATATATAAATTTATCTTTTTTATAATTTGCCCATAAAAAAAAAATAATTATAGAATATGGAATCTGTTCTGTTTGTGCAAGTCATAATACTAATTATCAGTGGTGTCAATCATGTGATCCCAATTTGCTAGCTCTAGAGTTGGACTAGCAGTGGTAATGAAAAATTAGATGAAATGATTATAAATACACGGCTTGAAACAAAAGGATTTGATAGTTATTATTACCTTGAATGGATCCCTTATGACTGACTTGGAGTTTACAATGAAATAGGTAAATGTGGTTTTGCAACTGTATACATATGTTATTGGTCAATTGGTCCTATATATGTTTATAAGAATAGAAGATATCATTGTAAAGATGGTAGTGTAGCATTAAACAAGGTTAAAAACACAAAAAATATTTCTGAGGAATTTTTAAAAGAGGTGAATAATTTAATATAATTAATTGACAAATTAATGACTTTTAAATAATATATTAATTTTTATAAAAACTCAAAATCACATCAAACTCATGAAACTATATTTATAATAGTATTGTTAACATTTAACAAGATCCTAATACAAAAGAATATGTTCTAATAATGAGATATGCATATGATGCAAGTTTTAATAAAATTATATAAAACCAAAATATACGAGAGAATTAGAATGCTTTATGGTATTATCTCAAATTTAAACATGATTCATGAAGAAGGACTTATACATCATGATCTTTGATCAATATCAATATCAATATCAATATTATTTTTATTATATCATAGGTTCTAATCAAATGGATTTAAGTTATTTGAATAAATTATATTATTTTGATTCTTGGAATTTTTATTTTATTATTATTATAAGATTAATTACTTTTTTTTATGAAGCTCATATATTAGAATAAAGTAGCTACAAAATATTTTTAATATTAATTTTATAGAATAGCAGGCTTTATCTGTGATTGGCTAATTCGATCCCAGATTTATGGCTAATTTGGATAATTAATTTAATGATCAAATGAATATCTGAATATTTTAATTATTCACCAAATAAATTATTCGGATATTAAATTTAATTATCAGTGAATGATTATTCATTATTAATATTTTTTTTCAAAAAAAAAAAAAACCTTTCAAATAAAAATGGATTAAGCTTTGTTCTCTATTTGAGATTATTTTATTTCAGCTTGACTAAATAATCTCTCATTTAGAATGGGACATTGTAGGTACACACAAGTATTTAGTAGCTAATTTTTGACAAAGCATGAAATTTATTTTTATTATGTTTCCACTAGAGCTCCGGACGGTTCGGAGTTTTAGGTTAGGGTCAACTTGACAGTCCCCAGTGTTTTAAAATTTATTAATTTCTAATCTAAACTTATTATAGAAACCAGTGTCCCGGTTGATCAAGTTTTTGTGAAGCACAGACTTAATTACTCAAAAGCGTTAGTTAGAACCTGAAATAATAAAGGTTTGCATGTGTTTAAAAAGTTGGCGGAGACGATAAATTTTATATATTAATATGGATTGAACGTCGTTAGGGTTTCTATTCGAATAAGTTTGTTCGAATTATTTGTTTTATTCGTTTGCATTGAAGGTTTGTTCGAATGAAACGAATGAACAAATAAAGCGAGTAAAACGAGTAAAAGCGGGTAATTAGAATAATTCGAATTAACATGAATATTGAGTAATATTGCGCAACGTAATTTAAAGTTTGACATACTTTACTTAGTACTAACAAAATAAAATATGCAGATATCAGAAACAACCAAGAGTACTCGCACCGCTATCAGTATTAAATTAAAAAAAGAAATTTGTGAATATATGACAGCTAATCGAAATGTTAAACATGCTGATGTTGCTTCATATTTTTGTAATAAATAAACATCCATATTGACAGAACAGCATTTCCAAAATATTTAAAGATAAAGATAAATGGACTTTTATTACCAATATGGTATTATGTGTGGTAAATGTACAATTTGCTAACAAATTATTAGAATAGGCTCAAAATTTCAGAAGAAAACAAAATTAAAAATGAAAGAATTGACACATTTGAAAATTTTCCTTTTATCTTCTGCAATAGTATTAATAATAATATTTTTTATGGTCATTCTTTAAAATCGTTAATCCTTTTCTTAAAACCTCCTAACCTTCTGAAATTTATATAGAAAAATCAAATTACCGCCTAATGGTGACAGACAATTTATCCAAGTCGTCTTTAATTTATTTTTAATTTCAAAAGTAAAGACTTGGAAGAGCATTATAGATAATCGATATCGCAGGATGTGTTTGCTTGAACAAAAGTTTGATTTTTATGTTTAATTGAATAAATATTTGATGATTCAAAACAATTGTAAGTTTACAATAAAAAATATAGATTATTATTCACACGGAATATTTTTCTAAAAAAAAGTTCATTTATTTTAATGAAGGAAAAATATCAACGAATTTACAAATTCTGTTAACAACAAAATCACGACTGCCAATCTTGGTGGTTTATGAAACATATGTTCTTTTGCTCCTAAAATATACTTGAATTTTAGAACATTTAAATCGTCACCAATAATCTTATGACAATTCAAGATTTCAATATTTGTGCTTCTAATAAAAAATGGGGTTTTCAACGAATCATGGAGCACAAAAGAAGATTGCTAATCACGTTCCAACCAATTTCTAAAGATTCGTTGAAACGAGATTGACTGTATAAATTTCGCAATGTTTGCTCAGATATTTATGAGGGTTAAAATGAGATGCAAAACGGTCAAAAAACCTTCATTATTGTTGAATTGAACTAGAGTTCCTATTCGTATATATATAATACAACTAAATCAATTCATTTTATTCAAATATTCAAATCCATGACGAATAAAACAAATAATTCGAATAAACTTTATTCGAATAGAAACTCTAACTTGAGCAGGCTCGAGTTAAAACTTGAATTACATAACTAAATTTGGTAACGATTTTCTTCTGACCTGTGGAAATCATGTGATTTATGAAACGTCAAGGTCTTTCCCAAAAAGGGTAGCAGTATCATTATTTCCTTTATAGGTAAAATCTTCACGTTTCCAACAAAAATTTCACACATACAAGAAATGTCTGCTATATGCCAAAAAAAATTATTATTAATGAAAAAAAAAAAAGAAATTGGTCAAAAACAAACCAAAATTGTAAAATTATACCAATAATGATAATTAGAAGAAAAAGGATCTTAATAATCATTTAATCCACCATAACTAACTTCAAAGTGATGATGAAGCCTGTTCATAATAATCATCATTATGCTCGTTATTATTATCCTCACCATTATCCTCACCTTCACCTTCATCACATATAGCCCTTTCATTTTATTCAGCAGCAATATTAGTAGCTCGTTTCCAAAAACACACTAAGGAAACTTGAAAGTCTATATATATTCGCGTGTTACAAATATGAGGTGGCTTGGTAAAAAAATTTGCTTGATTTATGATGAATTCCAAAATAAATAATAGAAGTGGTGATGCTTTAATTGAAATTTTTTTTTCAATTGTACGTTCACAATTACATTTACAAAGTTTAATTAATTAATCAATCAAATTTTACATTTTAAAACCGACATTTCGTAAATTCTTAGATAATTTATAGTACCAGTACATTTATTTAAATATAATCATATTCATCATGGTTTCAATGTCGATTAAACCAATAGCAAGATATTACAATTTCTTTATTATCACTACTATAATAATCAGTATTCTATTGCTAGCAACCACTACAGCAGAAAGTAATCTAAAAATCAGAAAAAGAGATTATGACAAGAGATTTTATTATGCAATAGAGGTTGAAAATGATTCTATTGTTACACCAAAAGTCTTAGAAAACTTATTGGATGTAAAACACGAAGGGATAATTGGTGAACTCGATAATTATCATTTGTTTAGTTCAGCAAAGGAAGATGTAGTTATCGGTGTTGATGATACGAGCAACAGTAATCCTCTTGATAAACGTTCATCATCTTCATCATCGTTTTCTTCACATAATCTTTCTGAGGATAATGATCGTGTGTTAAAAAGATTTAAAGAGTTAAAAGAAATTCGAAAAAGATCTATGGAATCATCACCAATGATTAACAAACGATCTCTTGAAGTCGTTGATGGAATATTAACTGTGGACAAACAAGTACTTAGAAAAAGACATAAACGTGTACCGTTACCACCAAAAAACAACAATTTGGATGAATTGGATCCAGAAGCAATTGGTATTTCATTAGGAATCAGTGATCCAGGTTTTAAATATCAATGGCATTTGGTAACTAATTAATAATATATTCAAGGAAAATATTTAAATGATTATAATAATATAATTTATGATTTATTAATTATTGAATGTTAAATATTATTATATAGATTAATCCGAATGAAATTGGAAATGACATTAATATAACTGGTATATGGGAAGAAGGTAATTTATCAATTAACCAACTTTTCAATTATCCCCAAAAAACATTTATATATTTATAGTGTATATGAATTTATTTTATGTCATAAATTGAGAGATTTTGATTTTGAAAAAAAACTTGTACTAATACAAATATATGACAAATTATTGATTGATTTGATATTTTCATTATAAGGAATAACCGGTAAAGGAGTCACTGCTGCTATTGTAGATGATGGATTGGACATGGACAGCGAAGATTTAGCTGATAATTTCGTATGTTGTAGATAAAAAATTTGATTATAATAATAACAATTGTAATAAAATAATTATAATTATTATAATAATAATGTAGTTTGCAGAAGGATCATATGATTTTAATGATCATACTCCATTGCCCAAACCTCGATTACTTCAGGATACGCATGGAACAAGATGCGCTGGGGAAATAGCTGCTGCAAAGAATAGCGTATGTGGTATTGGTGTTGCTCCAGATGCCAAAATAGCAGGTAATCCATTTTATTATGTATATATATATTTAATTGTTGTTATAATTATTATTTTTATTAATAATGGTTTTAAAAAAATTATTACTACAAATTATGTCTATTTAAAAAGGTTTAAGAGTGTTATCTTCAGCAATATCGGATGTTGATGAAGCAGAGGCTTTAAATTATAAATTTCAAATGAATGACATATATTCGTGTAGTTGGGGACCACCAGATGATGGAAAGTCAGCAGCTGGACCTAAAGGTGTGATACTTAAAGCAATTATAAAAGGAATAAAACATGGCCGAGGTGGAAAAGGAAGTTTGTTTGTTTTCGCAGCTGGTAATGGAGGTCTTTACGAAGATAATTGTAATTATGATGGCTATGCTAATAGTATATACACTTTAACTATTGGAGCTGTTGATCGTAGACACGGAGTTCCCTATTATGCTGAAAAATGTTCTGCTCTATTAATCTCTACTTATAGTAGTGGAGGTGGAAGTTATATTGTATGTATTGATTTTTTTTTTCTTTTCAAAAATAATAATCCATGCTAAAATAATTATTTATGAACAATTTTATTAGTATACTACTGATGTTGGTAGTAATAAATGTACAAATTTACATGGTGGCACTTCTGCAGCTGCACCACTTGTTACTGGAGCTTTATCACTAGTACTACAGATTAGGTAATTATAATAATAATATAAATATATATTTTATTATATATGTATTTATATTTAAATTAAATAAATTTTGTAGACCTGATCTTACATGGAGAGATGTGCAATACCTAATGATGATCAGTGCAGCGACATTTAATTTGGATGATCCTGATTGGAAACGTAACAGTGCAGGAAGACTATACAATCATAAATTTGGATATGGAAAATTGGATGTGTACACTTTGGTCCAGAATGCAAAAACATTCAAACTATTAAATCCACAGGTTAGCATTGAAATGCCAATCATAGAAGTCAACAAACCTATACCAATGAATGAGGAAGGAGTTTTTAGCAAGTTGATTGTAAAGGAGTCAGATATCGCCAGAGCAAAAATGAGAAGATTAGAACATGTAACTGTGACAATGAATGTTTTTCATGAGAGAAGAGGTGATATAGAGGTAGATTTGATAAGTCCAAATGGTATTGTTTCTAAAATTGGATTACCAAGAATGTATGATGAAGATAATTCTGGGCTTCGTAATTGGACCTTTATGAGTATTATACATTGGTAAGTATATATGTATATATTATTATTACTTTTTTGGAAGGGGAGTGCGAAAAGAATTTTAAATGATTGGTAATTTTTTTAGGGATGAATCACCAATTGGTACATGGTTTATACAAGTACGCGATCGAAGAAATCCAGATTACAATGGAATATTCGTAGACTGGATGTTGAAATTGTGGGGTGAAAGAGCTTATAATAGTACTAGTAATAATGTAAATAATTCAGATGAAAATTTTTCTTCAATAATAACCAGTGAAACCACAGTTACTACTAAGTCAATATCAACTTCACAATCACCAACCAAATCAATTGATGTCGATGATGATAATAATAGTGCACCCACATCTACAATTTTGACATCAAGTAACCCAATTTCAACAGAAACACAATCATTTACTGCACAAGTATTAGATGGTTACAACAATAGTTTGGTTTTAGGTATTTTCGTAATAGTTGTAGCATTTATATTAGCATCTATGGTATATGTGATTAAGAAATGTTGTTGGAATAAAATGAAAAGGAAAGGAGTCAAATTATTCTCAAAGAAAACATATAGGTTCTCGGTATTGGAGCAGCAACCTTCTGATCAAACATCTAATGATGATGATGATGATGATTCTTCTGTCCCATTGACAAGAGGTAATAACCAATTCATGGCATCAAATGAAATGTTTGATTCATTTGGAGATGGATCTGTTGATGAACAGGAACAGGAACAAGAGGATAAGAGGAGGATAATGGGAGGTCAACAAATTATATATGAAGACTCATATATGGATGATATTGTTAATGATGATAATGATAATGGTGATGGTGTTGAATATAATGAGAAAGTTTGACTTTGATCAAAAACAAGCTACAAGCAGTAAGGAGAAATGGGATAAAAATTATGTGAACATTTAAAATACCAATCAACAATATCATGGTGGAAATATACTGTATATATATATTGATTGTGTAATATTTATTTAATCTAATTTTTTATAAATAAAAATTTTTCAATTTTCTAAACTATGTATCAATATTAGCAGCGTGTGACACGATAAATCATTCATAAAATATTGACTTGCTTTAAATTATAATAACTTTTAATTTTACATAAAAATGTGAATTGATTGAAAGAGCTAACTCTTGGCCGACAAAAGTTTTCAGAGATCTATGACAGATGGACCACGAGGTCTTGGCATAGGATTATTTTCTTGCCTAGATTTGTGCCGTTTTTACACCAGAGATTTTTTTTTATAAAGGAAAACATGTTTTTTTTTCAGATATTTGCAATTAAAAATAACAGGCTAAGATAAAAATCGATTATGATAATTAACAAAAATAAGATAAAAATTCTATTCAACTTCTTCCATAGATTTTGGTAACATTGTGGACTCCACCATCGTTATCAATATCAAGAAGTCCAAGTTCAATCAAATTATAAATTTTATTGACTAATGTTGATGGTACTTCCAAATTAGATCTTGATTGTAGAAGTGATGCTTCGAATAAAATCCATGTAAGATTTTTGATCGACTCATCATTCTCATTTTTGTTTTGGGTGTCTTAATGATTGGATGACGTGAATTAATGATAGAGATGTTAACGGTCCAGTCCAGACCGCGGACCGAGTCGATCTGGTCTTAGGTATTAAAGACCGTTTGGACCGTTAAAAATATTATTTTTCAATTCCAATTATTAATACCGTAAAGTTTCAAAAGATAGCGCCCGTGACATTTCCTTTTTATAGTTTGTCACTCACAATTCATTATATTAAACGTCATTATTTTATTGAAAATTGTTTATTTGTCACGGTTATATCTTTTGGAAATTTACGGTATATTTATAAAAAAAAAGAATATAGTTTTATACAAATCAAAATTCCTCTATGAATGCCATTCCTTCTGATACAAATTTCATCGAAATACTCATTTTATTTGAATTATTATTTGTTTTATTCGAATCATTCATTTGCTTTATTCGAATCAATTGTTTTATCTATTTTATTTGAATTACTTGATTCATTTATTTTATTCATTTATTCGTTTTATTCATTTATTCCTTTTATTTGATTCATCTGTTTTGTTTATTCGTTTATTTGTTTCATTTATTTTATTCCTTAAGCTTGGCTGACCACGGTCCGGACCGCGGTCTCGGACCGATCCTTTGATTAGACTGACGGTCTTTGGAACAGACCAGACCGGGTCGGGTCGTTAACAACCCTGGTATATTCGTTTCACGTCAATGCCAAAAACACTTTTGAATGATTGATAGATTTTTTTAAAGGTATTTAGGGCTTCTATTCGAATAAGATTTATTCAAATTATTCGTTTTATTCGTTATGAATTTGGGTATTCGAATTACATTGAAATTTTATTCGAATAAAATGAACGATAATAATAATAACAAAATAATTCAAATAATCCAATCCAATTAAATTTTTTTTCATTAACAATCTATTTTTCCTTAGTCCTTGAATATAGTGGTAATAATAAATAGTAGTAGCTGACATTGTCCTTAGGTCATAGCTAGAGATGGGCAAATGGCGTATAGTTGAACACTATACGACACTATACGATACTTTACGTATAGTGCGTATAGTACGTATAGTACGTATAGTAGTGTTGAAATTTGATTGGGTGATTTTCCAATGTAATACAAAACTGAATAATAATAAGAAAAAAAAAATAATTTGGCTATTACGATAAGCATAAATCTTTAATTTATTCAACCTACACTTTTTTAGGTTTTTATTTATGAATCATTAATTATATTGAATGAATTAAATATCATAAAAATCAAAACTTCTTTCATTTTTATTTGATTCTTCAATAAAATTTTCATCAGCTTCCTTGATGAAATTTTCAATTATATTGTAATTTACCTGTACACCAAGTATTTAGAAGTATTAAAATGTTCTCCAAAATAATTTCTTTTAATTTGAATTGTGGCATTTGGACAAAGACGTAAATGTTTTTCACATCTAGATATTGAACTAGAACGTTAATATTAAAATGTTGCCAAATTGCAGGCAAGTTTAAAATATATATTTATCGTGAGAAGAGTATTAATTTTTATGTGTAACATCACATCTATTATTTGGCAATAACCTAAACAGGAATTGATTTACATTTACTACTATATTTTTCTAGAACTATACGCACTATACGTATCACTATACGTATAGTATTATACGTATAGTACTGATCTGCCCATCTCTAAATAAAGCAAATAATTAAGGTCCAGTTTAAACTCGAGCTCACTGGAAAGATTGCTATTTATTAAAAGAAACATGAATCTTGTTTCAGTCGTTCCTTATTAGTTTCATTTTTAATTCCAATTTTTATAATAATAAAATCAATATTAAACCTTGTTGTATATATAGTTTGAATATTTAAGTAATTGAACAACCCATGATTCCAAATAATCTAATAAAATGAATGAACAAACCCATGATTCCAATAATGAATAAAACAAATAAAACAATAAAATGAATAAAACGAATAATTCAAATAAAAAAACATATAATTCGAATAAATTTTTTTTAATTCGATTAAAGTTTTTAAATTCGAATTAAAGATCAACTGTATTACGAATAGAAGCCCTAGTCATCAGTCTTAATTAATGCTGGGCTGACACAATAAATATAATAGCATATTTTTCCGCGACCACAACATATTAATATTAATATTTTTAGGCGTATTTAGAAATTAATTGGCGATTTTCGCGGGAAATAATTTTGAATTTCCACCTGAGCTTCTAACTGAAATATTCAATTACATTAAAGATGATTTTATAAAACAACATATTCTTGTACTCTTGTCAACAAACAATGGCACAATACCAATATTCCGATTTTATGAAGAAATCCATTTTATTCTTTTAGCAGCATTAAATATTAATTAATTGTTTATTGAAAGAGGATAAGTATTTCTTAACTGGAGTCAAAATAACTTTTGAACTATTGGAGAAACCACCATTATACAATTATGCTGGATTTTGTACTATAATTTTCAATCGTTATGGCATCCAATGTCTGATAAAACATAATAAATTAGAAAACTTAGTACTAATTATATAGATTGTAATTTTTTAATTATTCATTATAGATTTGATAATTGTTTTCAGAATCTTTATGAAATAGAATGTTATTATGGTGATGAATTTTTTGCTAAATTAACAAATATTTGTAAAACTATTCAATCATTAAAATAATTTTAGCACAGCTAATTAAAGCATAAAAGCGATTAAATATTTAGTTATTGAAGTTATTGAATCAACACATTCACAATCAACAAAGACTTTAGAGTTAACATTTTATGCTAATATCAAAATAAAAAGTTGGAAAAATATTTCACTGCCAAATATTGAATCAGTGAAATTAAATATTTATTATCAACCATTTCTATTCAGACTTGTCCAATTCTATTAATACAAATGGAAAAAATCTTAAAAATCTGGATGTTGATGGTTATGATGATTGTGGGTTTTTGAGAAAGCTATTTCAATCAATTGCACAATCTTGCGAAAATTTAGAAAATTTATTTATACTGTATAAGGATGATTAGACCAGGAATAAAATAGACTATTGTCTTGATCCGAGTGATGTCATTTTTTTGCTCTTTGCAAAGAAGATAACGCAACCCAAACCCAACTTAACTTTGATGTCAACGCGATGCTAAAATAAATGAATCTTTGTTCTCTCATAGCACGGCGTGCACGATTGTGTGATACATAAAAAGCAAAAGCTCGCATTGCGTTCTCAGTTGTAAACTTGTTCGTTATTTATTATTCATTGATTTGGATGATATATCTTATATATTTTTACATGTTAATATTTTGACTCATCACCTTGCTTCTAATATTGTTTATCACATTGGACCGACTAATGTATTAATTGAGGAAATGAAAAGCAATATTATTTTGATTACTTTGGCCGAAAGGATATAATTGAAACAATTATTGAGATTGCGACATTAACATAAATATTAACTATAGAAATTTTTACATCAATGTTTAATACAATACAGTATATATTTTTTAATTCTTAACGTATATACAAAATTAATTTATTTGTTTCGTTTCGCTTATAAAAAATGGTTTGCGTTGAAAGCTGGATTAGCCCAAAATCACATGTGATCAAAGGTCAGAGGATTAGTTCTCCCAATTATCTGATCAAGGTACTAACTTTGCATAGTGATCTAATAAAAACCCCTTGCGTAGAGCTATTATGACTAAATATATATTTCAGAGCTTTATTGTATGTCTAACTATGAAACATTCAAGATTTCTATCTGGAAATTTTGGAACGACATGCATAATGTAAATTTTAGCATGACTCATTTCGTAATCAGGCGTACATAATTGATAAAATTAATTTGCACATAAACCTGTTTTGACCTTTATCTTAAATAAATTTAAATAAAGTATCATTATTATCGTATGTGGGTTAATTTTTCCCAAAAGATTCTTTTCTAAAAATGTAACATTCAAGTTAGAGCTTACTTAATACATAAACAGAGTATTATTGTGTGAGTTAATTTCTCCCAAAAGATCATTATGATTCTTTTTTAAAAGTGTAACATTCAAGTTAGAGCTTACTTAATTACATAAACAAAGTATTAGTATTATTACGTGAGTTAATTTCTCTCAAAAGATTATATTGATTCTTTTTTTTTAAATTTACTTATATGTGAATTTTATAAACATTGGGGTTGGCCGTAATGATAATATATAAATATTTGACCTGAACTGTGTTGACGATCAACCATTGTGACCAACCCCAATAAAACATTGTCTTGATTTGTCTTTTTCATTTATCCGAAACACAAATTTGGCATATCATAAAAAGTAATATTTCTTGCTCATTCTATTGGATATTTAGCAGTCAAAGATAATATAAATTCAATTCCAAACTCTCTTCCATCAAATTCTTTTCATTCGTCACTTGAATGATTTATTCATTAATAGTTGCTTCAAAAATATTTTTTACGATCAACCCAAACAACGTTAAAATCAAACTTTTTATTTCTATTTTTTTTTTTTTTTGGTTTTATCTCACAGCAAAAAGCACAAAAAATTTTTACTTCAACAATGAGTGGTTTTCTTTCTGAGATGATCAAATTACCGCTATTCGAAAATACTGGTAATGGAACATCTCTTATGTGTCCTGGTAATAATACTACTAGCAGTTTAAAAACATACGCAGACTTTTTTTCTCAAGTAGAGACGTTCATCCCTATCGCAGGTCTTCTTTTTACTATAGTTATTTATGGTACAAAATCTATATTTGGAATTATGATAACCTGCTTTCTTGATGATATTGTTATTATTACATCTTCTTTTGGACCGATTTTTTGGTGGTACACTTTTTCCAAACCATTCTGGTTTTATGGAATAATAAATCAGCTCCATGATTCAAATTACAACCATAATCCTATCTATTCAACAGTTCTTAATGTTTTGTTCGGAAGTATGACAATTATTCTGTTTTTGGGGGAAATTATCAGGCTTTATTTTCACAAATGTCGGAATAAGCTCAATGAAAAGTCATTATGGTTTCAAATTCTTCCAGAGAAGTTTCGTCTTACCAATAAAGAATTATTCAGTGCTTTAAAAGCACTTTATATTTGGAGTTTATTCTTTCATTCAATCGAAGTCATAATTTATAGTGTCTTGTCATATATATACATCTTTTCTATAATCTTCGATGGATCAAATGTTGCTTTGCAAATCAACTTATTATTTTTAAACTATTTCATGAATTTTTGTTATCTCCTCGGAAGTCTTTGTTTAGTTGTGACATATTATTTTCCTAGTAAAAATAGACGTTACAGTGGTTTTGTTCGTAAAAAAGTTTTCTTTTTTACCATTACCATTTGCATAGTTCATATATTTTTTGAATATTTCTGGTTTTGTACCAATCCTTTTTTTAACATAGTTTTCAACACTATTTTTGTCATCATTTTGACTCGTTCAATTGCATCATTCTTTTCTGACAATGGAGTAATTGAATGTATTTATAAACATGGTGAATATGAGAAGGTTTTTGCAGAAATCAAAGTTAAAAATATCAACGAGGTTGTATATTTTTATAAAAATGATATAAAATACCGAATTAGTTCTGCGAAAGAATATTTTTATATTTGTGAAGAAGATGATGATGAAGGAAAAAATGTAGACAAAAAAAAAAATGGAGTTGAAGAAAAAAATTATGTCCTGATTTTTCTTAGTGTCTTTTTTTATTTTTTCTTTGTTATCTATGAATTATTTAAAAAATTATTTGAAATGTTAACAAAAGAAAAAAAAAATGATTTAAAAGAAGAAGAAAAAGAAGAAAAAGAAGAAAAATAAAAATAAAATATAAATTTAAAAGGAGAAGAATATTTCTACGTTAGAATTAGTGATAACCGAGTGCATTTTTATCAGCTTGAGTATAAATACGACGAGGAAAAACAGATAGAGGAACTAAAGGATAAAATATTCAAAAAGTATTTTCTTAAAGTGAAAAAATATCTTTTTGGGCAAAGAGTCTTTGAATGTGACCCAATCCTAAAAGAAATCAAGAAAATTACCAAGGCGAAGACAAAATGTTCTCATTTTATTTGCGAAAAACTCAAAAAGGATATGGAAGTAAAGATCGAAGAAGCTATGAAAATAAAGATCGAATATTCTTCTTCTTCCTCTTCTTCTACTACTATTACGAATGAAAAGAAAACCACGGGAACGGAAATTCCGGGAGAAAATAGAGTGAAACCAAAAATAAAAAGGATAAAAGTGGAATGGACAGGAGCGGAAGATAAGGTGCGGATCAACATACTTGAAACTGGTGCTCTTAATTATTTTATTTACTCTCACCATAAAGATTCTAAAGATAAGTGCGAAAACAAAAAGGAAAACGAGGAAAACGAGCAAAAAGAGGAAAATGAGGATATATGTGTTGACATTAGTGAAGGTAAGGTTTTTTTCAGCAGATGAAATACAATTACTTATTGATCAAGTCAATGTTAATAATAATGATGATAATATTATTACAGAAGGAAGTTGTTACATTGAGATTGATTTAGGAACTGAAATGTTTGATGATGACGAAACTATTGTAACAGCGTCTGAAGAAGAGGAAGAGGAAGATTGGCGGTCTGCCAATACTAGTGTTGATTACTAAAACTAGAGAGTTTCGCAACCGAAACTAGTTTTGATTTTTGACTATCGACTTTTGATTTAGTTTGACATATAACTTTTAATTTTAGTTTTGACTTTTGTCACTTCAAAATAGTTTTGGCAACCAACACTAATCAATACCTAATAAAATTGCTTTAGAAAGAATAATGATATACATGTAAATAGTTTAGAGATTGGAATCGATTAATTATTTTTCGATAAATCGGTCAAAGATTAATATTAATCGATTAATTTTTCGAAAAATAATGACCGATAATAATTGTATTCCTTCTTTTCGTTTTTGTAAATAATAAATAAATCATATTGAATAAATAATGAATTTCACTATTTAGAAAATAGTTTTGATTATTCAAATCTTCCTCTTGAATATGATAATAATAATAATATTGATGATATAACAGTTGCATCAACTTCTACTTCACTTACATCTGCACCTTCATTGTCAAATTTAACTTTAGATTCTTTTTACGAAGTTCAATCAATTAATTTGCCAAAACAAAAAAAGGCATATAATTTACGAGGAGGATGCAAAAGAAAAAATGCTGTATGGAAGTATTTTAACCTAAAGGTCAAGAAGTAGAAATTTGACTATCATGGAAATGCTACGGGAGTATGGTATCATTTAGATTCTGTACATGATACAACTAAAGATGGAATTATTAAAAAACAGGTATCTTTACAAATCATATACAAACACACATATATACACGGATTATTGAAAAATTAATCAATTGATCGTTATTTTTTTGAACGATTGATTGATTAACAAATTTTTGGCCGATTCCGATCTCTAAAAATAATTCTTAATACAAACTAGTATGAATATTTATATAGATAAATAATAAAGATTATTTTATTTTATTTTGCTTTCTATCTATCTGTTTTATTAAATAAATATTTTCAATTATAACAATAAATAAATAATATTTTCAATTATAACAATAAATAAATAATATTTCTTTTTTTTTTTTTTGTAAATTGCATATTTCGATAAAATCAGATCTCTTGATAAGACAGACACCATGCCCAACCACTTGTGTCCGACTTGTCAAGTTTATCTATGTATCTACAGTTAGGAGGGTATGGACAAATAATAATAATAAGTTCTTGTTTTTTCTGTCTCTTTTATACATGGGATGATAATTGGTAATACGTAATTACGAAATCAATTACGAGTGACGAAATTATTCATTATGTAAGATCTGTAAATTTTACAAGTACTAACATAAAGTTTTAAATTTTTTCAAACCATAAACAATATCTTGCTTTTGAAGTAAAAAAAAGTCAATTTTAATAAAGGATATTGTCTACATGAGCAATTTTACTTAAAATAAGGCATGCTTTCTATGAACAAGTACTTTAATTATTGTAAAAATACAAGTTGTTATTTTATTTATTTTATTATCCTAAAATGATGTTCTTTAAATATAAAAAAATATATATTGGATATTGTGAGAACGAAAAGGAGTTAGGTTACAAGGAAGCAACTAAGTTAACAGTGTAGTGTTACAACAGGTTGTATAGAAAAATTTCAGTTTCAAATAGCATTCATTTATCCTGTATGAGTCTCCCATTATAACAACATTCGTTATAATAACAATCTTGTTATAATGACTTTTTTTAAAAAACCAAAGTTATGAATATAAATTTACTCACGTTATGATGCCACCTATTATTTATCCAGTTATACTAGTATAATGACATGATTTGTCAAAATTTTTTTAGAATTATAAATTTATTTTGTTATAACGACATGTCAGTGTAATGGGAGAACCAATCAAAATCATAGGAAATTAAAATTTCCGTATAATGCTGGACAATTTTGACCCGAGTGTCGAGCTTTATTATTATTGATTGACCAAGTACTCAAGCACCCGAATAATCAACTAATACAAACATTATGCAATCCAATTTTTATATATTGATACGTAAAAGTGCAATTAATTCTTCAAAGTGCGATCCGATTTTATTGGTGTTACGCAAAAGTTTAATCATTATTTTTTTATATGGTGATACGCAAAAGTAAGATCCAATTTTTTGATATGGTAATACGTAAAAGCAATAACACAAAAGTAGTCAAAATTTTCGATCCAGTAATACATAAAGGTAATACGTCAAAACATGGACCAATTTTTTGACATGAAAAATGATACCTAAAAGCACTAACTATGGGAGAAAGGTTTCTAGAGCATGAAAACATGGTATACGTTCGGTAATACACCAAGGTAGAATAATATAAGGAAGAAGTAGAGAAAAATTATGCTTTGACGTATTACCAAGTGGAGATAACAATTCAGCACTACGTGCCTCATTCTCAATCAGTATTCGAATGCGTCGCACAAAGCCAGGCCATGAATATTATTTCGGCACTACGTGCCTCATCTTTGCAATCGAATATGGCGTACAGAGCCAAAATACGGATTGCAAATTCGGCACTTCGTGTCACAATACTAGAATTCGAATTGGACGTAAAAAGTGAAAACGATGTACGTTTTTTTTTGGTCAGCAAGTGGGTGTGGCAATTTTACTTTCCCAGGAAGAAATGCCACTTATAGTTAATCGTGAACACTTGTTCATGGTAATCACGTTTGTTATATCTCGGTGTCCAAATTCGGGCTATAAAAAACACATTGGACCTTGAAAATGTGTTGGTAAACGCAATATGCAACACCATCGTCATTTTGGTATATACACGAGAGTCCGCACGTGCCATGACGTAAAAAACTTGGACATGCAAAACATTTGGGAGCCGATTGAAAGCTAGAAACCAAGTGAAGAAGCAAATTATAAGCAAATTAGACGGCCAACGTTGACATAGTAAACATATGATAATTCGCATGTAGTGGCCAAAAAATTAGAATACGCCACACTCGAATATGGCCAGAATATGAAATAGGCTACACAGAATGTTTATAATCTGGACCCAACATACCGAATACAGCTCTCAAAACGTGGTCAGGATCGCTAAATCGACCATATGGGATAATTATAGTCTAACCAAGTGAGATAATTATAATCTAAATACCCCACTTAAGCCTTTCCTATGCTTCTGAGAAGGGAAGAGCGGTGGGACATAATTTTAGTATTTGAGAAACTAGTTTTACCTGACACTCCTCGGGAAATAGAGTCAAGGATTGCATTAAAAAAATAAGTCATTTTCTTTCAACAACAATTACGTTAGATATTGACCATGCTAAACTATTAAGTGAATCAGAAACATGAAATGTACTTATTTCAATATTCTAATTAAGCACATACTGGATGGAAAAAGTCATAAATATTTGAACCACTGGCTTTGAAATATACCTGTAAAGTATCATATTTAAAATAAATTTCAATTAGAAATCACATGCCACATATACACTTATTCCAAAACTTATAAGTTAATAAATACTTTATAATTTTAGCATGTTTAGTGATCTACCCAATCAAAATTATTTAAATTATTACAAGGACTAACTAGAAATGTGAAAATTTACGTGCATATTTAACCTAGGCTATAATCTGAAATAAAGTTTACTTTTAAAAAATCGAGCCCCACATTATTTGCCCGAATGTATATGAACCAAGACTTTGTAAAAAAAATTCATGATCATTAAGAAGAAATTGTTTGTTTAACTGTGTTTATAAGATTTATAGTTTTTATGGCATCTTTCATTTTAGTTGATTAGTGCTCTACATTAATATTTGTTTCTACCATCGGTTGCATTTACTAACACGAATTATTGAAAACAGACTGTATGTAAACCTGTAATAGTAATATGTTTTTGGATAATTATGTGTACATTGTTCAATAGAGAGGTGGATAACAGTTGATAGCTTTTGCTATCTTTTCCACTGCAACGTCCAATATTTAAACCACCAAATTTACAAAGATTTATCAACATACCAAAAAAATGGTATCTACTCTCTAGGTGCAACAATTCAAAAAAAATAATAATTCAAAGAATATTTCCATTACAGCCAAATTTTGATTTCTACCCTCTAACCAAGTTACAAGGGCTTAAAAAATTAGTAATTCTCATAAATATAAAATTTTCATTAATAAAAAAAAAATTAGAAACAACTATTTTTAATTTTTCTTTAAATTTTATTGGTCAATATTACTTACACGTGATGTTTTTCCACCCAAATTTTCGCTGCTCCACTGTATGGGCCATGTTAGTACAAGTAGTATTTCAAAATAACATTTTCTTTGAAAATCGCTTTAATAAAAATTTTACAGAACACAAGTATATTAATTAGAACCACATAGATATAATTCCTCCTAAAGCAATGACAAAACTCTGTTGTAATGGAAAGAATATAAAATCAGACTGAGACTTTGAGTTAAGTTACAATTAAGAAATAATTACTAGTTAGCCACTAAATTCGTATCTAGTCTATAAACATGCTTAATAGTTGTCTATTTGCACAAAGGCATGTAAGCATAAATAAACTAGACTCTGCAGCAGATGTTTTATTATTAAAAAGCAACTGTAAAATTATCTCGGTTATTAAAACAGTTTGCCTCATGTATAGAAAATAAAATTTTATTATTTTAACATAACAAAATTATTAATAAAATAAATAAATAATAAATAATAAAAACTATGATAAAAAAATTTAATTTCATTACAATAATTTCGATAGAATAGAATTAACCTCGAAGAATAGATAAATAAATTAATCATATCTACGTCTTAACTTACAAAAATCTTGCTCCAATTCAGCATAGTGTTGATTCATTGTCATAATACAATCTTTAATCATCAACAAACGATCAGAAATCCTTAAAATTAAAGGATCATTGTCACTTTTGATGCCATGATGAATATTATTGGGCGAAGAAATATTTAAATTTAGGCGAGGTAAAGTTGTCACCATCACATTGTCACTGTTTTGGTTATACTGTCGATAACTTTGAGTTTGTTGGTGGGCGTGTTGAGCGTAATTTTGAATTTGTTGTTGCTGACTTTGTTGAAGATAACTTTGTTGAGCTAGATTTTGAACTTGATGCTGATTGTAATTTTGTTGACCTAGGTTTTGAATTTGTTGGAGTTGGTTGAGATTTTGTTGTTGATCGGAATTTTGAGCTGGTTGATTGATATTTTGATTGGCTGAATAACTTGATCAGAATTTGGAATTTGACCGTCTTGTTGACCATCTTGTTGATAATTATAAGTCATATTGATTTTTTTTTATAATTAATCGTTTATTAATTTTTTTTTAAAAAAAAAAAAGAAAAAACTGAAAGTGATAAAATCAACTTTTTTAGCTATAAACAATATTTTTGTTACACGACCTGCACAGAATTCTCCTATATTTCTATGGTTGGCTCGGTCTAAAGACCTCCTATTTCTGCGCCACGTGGCCAAATTACAAAAATAGCAATTTTGTAATTTGTTCAAAAATGCAATAAAAATTTTTGAAAATAGGACTTCATGTGATTTTGGGTTTAAAAATTTATTTCGTACTGCCAAATGTAGATATGATGGTCATGTATTAGTCTAAATTTAGAAATGATTTTTGTAGTTTGGTCTAAATTTAGTAATGATCCTAGCGGCCAAATTTCTCATGAACATAGTAAAGTACATGTTCTAAAAAAGAATAGAACTCTACAACAAATGATTTTTTTGAGAATATCTCATTATTACATTAAAACTAAAGACCTATTCTATCAACTAATAACATTATTTTTTTAAAAGATAGGACAGAAAGTGACTTCTATACTTTTAAAATTTATGCAAAACTTAGGAGGTCTTTAGGCTGAGCCAACTATATGTGGGAAAATATTAATGATCGACAAATTTCACTACTCGTCATGCAGATCACAAATTAAAATTTCATTTAGTTATCACTACTACTGTATATAGTTGCGGGACATTGCGGACCAATTGTCTTTTAAACATTACACAAATAAAATTATTATTGTCCACTTCAAAAAAAAAAATCTCCGTTTTTCATATAGCAAGCAATTTTCAACATCATAAAATTTTTGGAGCCAGACTGGGACTTTTAACGACAGTTAAAAGAAAAGGCTAGCTTAAATATTGGTTATTCTATGCCAGGTTGGAAGCGTTTCTTTTCTTCATGCTTATTTTAAGATTATCGCTGAACCAGTTTGCAGACTAAAGCAAATTCAGCAGCAACAGTTGTACCAAAGTGTTCCCTACAGAGTCGCTTATAACTACTTGGAAGGTTGTGTTAGAAAAATTTTGTTTTTAATTAGAAGGGACTGATTTATAAGGTTATTGTAACAAATTACTCCGAAGTCATGTGTAACATCGGGGTGGTACATAAATATTTACATTAGAAACGTGACACATTTA